TGTTCTTTCATCCGAAGGACTTTATTCTTTATTTCAGTGACCTAGAAGCAATAAGGAATGGGGATTTCATTAGATTCTAAAATATCCCATTTGGGAATCATAGAAATGGAAAGTTTCTACCTAATTGGCATCTTGAAAATATTACCATATATAAAACAAAATCTCCCCCCCGATTCTTTGCAGTCGGGCTTCTCGGTCTGTCATTATACCACGTGAAGTAGAAAGAATTACAACCCCCATCCCGCCTAAAATTTTAGGTATTTTTTTAGACTTAGAATACATTCGTAGACCGGGTCGACTTATCCGTTTTAAATTTAGAATATTGCTAAAGGTCCTTTTTTTAGTGTTTATATGTTGCAGAGTTAAAACTAAAAAATTTTTGTTGTTTTCTCGATGATTTCTCACACTTTCAATAAAACCTTCTTTTAAAAGGAGTTTTACAATCTTTTCGTTAATATTACTGGATGGGATTCGAACTGTTCTTTTTCCATCCCTATGAGTATTCCGTATAGAAGTTATTATCTCAGCAATAGTGTCCCTACCCATGATGAACTCTAATTATGGAGCTAAAAATTTTTCTACTCTCAACGTGTTTTTTTTATTGTCTATGGATTATTGTGTTTATCTTACTTTATTTTAATCTTAAAGTTATATACGTGAGACAGATTCTACTCCATTTTTTAATTTTTTTTATAATACCTCAGGAGCTAATGAAACGATTTTAGTAAAATTTAATTGTCTTAACTCCCGGGGGATTGGACCAAAAATTCTGGTCCCTTTTGGATTTCCTTCTTTATCAATAACAACTGCGGCATTATCATCATATCGTATTATTATCCCGTTGCCACGTTTTAGTTCTTTAGAGGTACGCACGATTACGGCTCTAACTACTTCAGATCTTTGTAGAGGCATGTTAGGTACAGCTTCTTTGATAACAGCAACAATAATGTCACCAATATAAGCATATCGACGATTGCTAGCTCCTATTATTCGAATACACATCAATTTTCGAGCCCCGCTGTTATCCGCTACATTTAAAAGGGTTTGGGATTGAATCATAGCATTTTTTTTATTCTTTTCTTTCACAATGCAAAGGGCGAAGAAAAAAAGAAATATTTTTTGTCCACAAACATAAAACGAAACCTCTTTTTTTTTTGTTTTTGTTTCATTCTTAAGATTCTTTGGGTTGGTTCTAGAGTTATATCGTCTATTCTATCTCCGAAATAATGAATTGAGTTTGTATCGGCATTTTTGATGCTGCTATTGAAATAGCTTTTCTGGCAATATTTTTTGTTACTCCACCCATTTCAAAAAGTATCCGACCGGGTTTAACAACAGCAACCCAATATTCAGGGGATCCTTTTCCTGAACCCATACGTGTTTCTGCGGGTCGTACAGTAACTGGTTTATCGGGAAATATACGTACCCATATTTTTCCTCCACGACGTGCATTTCGTGTCATAGCCCGTCGCCCAGCTTCTATTTGTCTAGATGTGATCCAAGCGGGTTCAAGTGCTTGAAGCGCATATTTACCGAAACAAATATGATTCCCTCGAGAAGCTATTCCCTTCATTCTTCCTCTATGTTGTTTACGGAATCTGGTTCTTTTGGGGTTATAGTTGATGGATTTTTATTTATTCCATCTCTACTACAGAACCGGATGTGAGAGTTTCTTCTCATCCAGCTCCTCGCGAATTACGAATAAAGTATTTACAAAATGAGCGTTTGACTCAAATTGACTAATCATAGTGAAGATATCTAAATCTAAAGATAGATAATAAAAGTCTGGACTGAGAAGTCAAAATAATATTTAGGGATTGAGTGATCTTTTTTTAAATCTATTTGAATTGAAATGAATTATTCTACAGTTTTTTCATGATTCTCTGAGTCTAACTAATCCTTCATTTTTGACTATTCTTTATATTGCTTTAGATTGAATATTGATTCTTTTGAAAAAAGTTTTCGCGGGCGAATATTGACTCTGTCAATTTAGATTTCATTTCTAGGACGAGTTTGTGACATCTTATAGCTAGTATCTAGAAATAAAATAATTTAACATTGGTTTATTCCGCCATCCCAGCCAGTGAATGTTTAAGATTTTTTTTTATTTCATCTTGAATTGAATTGAATCTTTTGTATTCTCATAAGTTCCGTCGTCCCCATCACTTCTTACTTAATGGTTAGGTCCTAATTTTACAATGGAGCTCAAATAGTAATAATATATGAATAATTTAAGTCTTTAGCCATTTTTCTTAGTCTTTATTGGCTTTAAGCTCTTGACTTTATTTTTTTATTTTATCTCTTCTATATTTAATATCTAATTGAATATTTATATATAGATTATAGATTTCTATAATAAGAGTATATTGTTTTTTATTATTGAATATTCTTAGATTTCTTATTCTATTTTAAATACTTTAATATGCAGAATTTAAGTATTAATGCTTCATTACATTGCCTGTTTTGTTAGACCCTACATATTGGAATTTTCAATCATTGAGCTTCTTTTTCTCCCTTTCTCTCTCCCTTCCAATTATCCACATCTTTTTTATATTTTGCTTCGCAACTTCAATAATATTTGAATACTATTTTTCGTTTATGCAAATAAATGGCAGTTGCTACAACGATATGAGCGGTAATCATATCGTGACTGGTTATTTAGATCCAGATAATGCGAAATTGATGAGTTAATTATTAGGTAATTTCTTCTCGAGTTAGTAGTTGTTACTTTGGGTTTGGTTTCATGCTAACCTTAAAAAATAAACGAGTCGCACACTAAGCATAGCAATGATATTTTTATTAAAAATAAATAAAATTTTTATTCAACCTTATAGAATTCATTATTATCAATTAGAACTGTTCCTGCTCATTACACAAAATAATTTGTGAAATGGCCGCTCGGTATTACAGGTAAAAAGAATGAATAAAATTTTATTGAGCTTGATCAAAAAATATCCAAATTTTTATGCCTAAAACCCCGTAGATAGTTCGAACTGAATAACAACAATAATCAATTTTAGCTTGAATAGTTTGGCGGGGAATTCTTCCTTCTCTTATCCATTCCACACGTGCAATTTCCTTTCCGTCAAGGCGTCCCGCAATTTGTACTTGAATTCCTTTTGTATCTGCTTGTTCAGCTAATTCAATAGCTTTTTTCATTGCTTTTCGAAAGGAAACTCTATTCTTTAATTGTCCAGCTATAAATTCGGCAAGAATATTAGGATTTCCATACGGTTTTTCAATTTTTGTGATAGCAATATTAAGTTTTCGGTTTACGAAATTTAATTTTTTTTGTAGAGCTTTTTGTAATTCTTCAACTCCCTGCGGGCTATTTTCAATGAATACTTTGGGAAATCCAATATAGATTATGACTTGGATTAGATCGAGTCTTTTTTTAATACATATACCTGCAATTCCCTCGGTACCCGAGGGTTTGATTCTATTTTTTTTGTACATAATTTTTTATAAAAGCTCTTATCTTTTGATCTTCTTGCAGATTTTCAGCATACGTTTTTGGTTGCGAAAACCAAAGTGAATAATGGGCCTGGTTTGTACCAAGTCTGAAACCAAGTGGATTTATTTTTTGTCCCATAAATACCTCCTTTTCTGGATATCAGAATATGCTTTAGTTCTAGAATTTTTTTTCGCTTGTGGTTTTTTTAGCAAACCGAGCTCCACGGATTCAGAATCATTGAATGAAATATCTTTTAGTACAATAGTGATATGGCAGGTCGGTCTTTTTATTGGATAACTACGCCCGCGAGCCCGAGGTTTTAATTTCTTTCCAGCAGTCCCCTCATTAACTTCAGCTTGACTAATAACTAAATTTGCTTTATTTGAAGCCATAGTGTAACTAGCATTTGATGCGGCTGAATAAACCAATTTTAAAATTTGATAACTGGCACGATAGGGCATGAGTTCTAATATAATAAGTGTTTCCTCATAGGAACGCCCACGAATTTGGTCAATAACTCTTCGTGCTTTATTAGCCGACATAGCTATACGTCGACCTAAAACGTATACTTCTGGGGTTTTTTTATTTAGCATCTGGTACATAAAATTTGCCTCCTACTAATGACTTATAAGCATCAAAATATTTTTTAGTATTCACATTACCGATGAGATTTCTTATCATTTTTTGCATGTCCTCGAAAATTTAAAGTAGTTGCAAATTCTCCCAATTTGTGTCCGACCATATCATCCATTATATAAATAGGGAGATGCTCTTTCCCATTATGAATGGCAATAGTATGACCAATCATTATTGGAATAATAGTAGATCCCCGGGACCAAGTTATTATTATTTCTTTTTCTCCCTTTGTGTTAAGTTTCTCAATTTTTTTTAATAATTTATGAGCTACAAAGGGATTTTTTTTTAGTGAACGTGCCACAGTTTACTCCTATAAATTTTATTATTCTTTTATTTTTTTATTTTTCATATAATTGAATGAATAAATTTAATTTGTTCTATTATATTAATTTTTATACTATATATATTACATTAAGTATATTCACTCTATTAACTATATTATACTATTATATTAACTGCGGTGACGAAGAATGAGCTTCTCACTATATTTATTCCTCTTTCTAGTTTTTCTTCCAAGTGCGGGATAACCCCAAGGGGTTGTAGGTTTTTTTCTCCCAATAGGAGCTCTACCCTCACCGCCCCCGTGTGGATGGTCTACGGGGTTCATAACTACTCCTCTGACTACAGGACGCTTACCTAGCCATCGTTTAGCTCCAGCTCTACCCAAATTTTTTTGGTTGAACCCAACATTCCCGACTTGTCCTATTGTTGCGGAGCAGTTTTGGGATATAAAACGGACCTCGCCAGAAGGTAATTTTAATGTAGCTGATTTACCCTCTTTTGCAATCAGTTTCGCCATTGCACCCGCTGCTCGAGCTAATTGTCCACCCCTTCCACGTGTAATTTCTAGGTTATGTATAGTCGTGCCTAAGGGGATTTCGGTCAAAGGTAGGGCATTTCCAATTTTGATTGAAACATTTGTACCAGAAACAATGGTATCTCCAATTTGAGCCCCTCTCGGATGTAAAATATACTTCTTCTCACCAGTCTTATAATGTATTAGACAAATGTTTGCATTTCTATTAGGGTCATATTCTATGGTTATGATTCTACCATATAGGTCTTTTTCATTCCGTCGAAAGTCTATTTTACGGTATAGGCGCTTATGACCCCCCCCCCCTATGCCTTGCTGTAATGATTCCTCTAGCATTACGACCTTTACCACAATGATGCTTTCCAGAGAGCAAATTTTTTCTTCGAGCAAATTTTGGGCTGTTTACGGTTTCGCTCGGGTTATAAGTTTTGTATAATTGTATTCCCATGATATAAATGATTTTTATTTTGGATTTAAAGTTTATTTGTTTGGAGGTGTAAGCCAATGTCTAATGATCTGCGGTAGCCATTGCATTATATGTCCTCTAATAGGGAGGGCCTACCATTATGTGACCCTTTGCCAGAAGCGTAGCACTACTCAAAGTTTATGACGTGGATTTCAAAAAAAGTCTATTTATTATTTTTTAATAACTAAATTCTTTTTTTTAATATTATATCTTTTATTCCATCCCGAATTTTAATTCATTCCGTATTATTTTAAGTTGAAATAAAAATGTTAATTTTGAGTGTTGATAGAATCTATCTATATCTCTAATATAGAGATAGATTCTCTATATGTATCGGTATCCTAGAATTATCTATTATGATATATGAAATGGAAATAGTCAACATGAAATCTATCTAGGAACATATATCTTCTATGATATTTGATATGGACAAATCTATCTAGGAGCATATATCTTATATGATATTTAATATGGATTATGAAGGAAATGCTCAAAGTAGATCTATGCTAATATATATCCTAAAATATAACAAAAATATCATAAAAAGAAGAATTGGAGGGTCAATGAGATTTTGTGTAAATAACTAATAGTGCTAATAGTGTGCATCCAGTAGGAATTGAACCTACGACTTCGCCAATTATGAGTTGGGCGCTTTAACCACTTAGCTATGGATGCTTAAACGAGACCATCATCTATAAAAATTGAAAATTAAAATATAATAATTATGGTAATTATGAATCTTGGAATTGCAAATAAAAAAAAATGATATTTTATTTTATATGATAGGATATGATAGGAATAGAGAATCTAATATTCAATATCGAATTACAGCAAAAAATATTACATAAAAAAATGTCGTTTAAATAAAGAATTTCGGAAATCTGAAATACTAAACAAAGACTCTATTTATCATTTCTATTTTTACATTAAATAGTCAATAGTCAATTATATAAAACAAGTACTTAAAATTTTTGCATAAAATCTTATGGAGGTATGAGATGGAACCTAAGCAAAACAAGTTCTGGATTCTAGAATTACGAGAGATACTGAGAGAGATTAAAAAATCAAAATATTTTTTAGATTCATGGACCCAATTGAATTCAATCGGATCTTCCATTCATATTTTAGTCTCCCAAGAACGGTTTTTAAAACTGTTTGACCCACAAATTTGGAGTCTTGTACTTTCACCTAATTTGCAGGGTTCAAAAAGCAATCGATCGGTCAAGATTAAGGGAGTTTTACTAGTTTTCGTTGGCGTTGTTATCTTTATTTATCGTATTAGCAATCAAAATATGGTTGAAAGAAAAAATCTCTATTTAAAAAGACTTTTTCCTATACCGATGAATTGCAGTGAATCCATAACTGATCAAGATAGTGGTTATTCTACTCTAAATCGATTGAGTATTTTACTCCTTTCTTTTCCAAAAGGCAAAAATCAAATTGATATTGATTTACTGAATACGAACTATAATACTCGGGTTTTGCCAATAAAAAAAAAACCTAACATGCCTCAATCAAAGTCAGATTCGACGCAGGGGAAAAACTTTATTAGAGAAATTATTAGACGAACTAGAACGGAATTTAGAGAAATTCCAATGAAACTTCTTGGTTTAAATCTGGTATTATTAAAAGATAAAAAATCGCTGGAGTTTCCTTATGATTCCACAAGATCTAGTTCCTTACAAGTAAAAGATTCCGGCCAACCGAAAGGATCCTTGGATAGAAATTTTTTGGATTCCATTAGAAATGAGGATTCCGAATATTCCAAATTAATGAATAAAAGAAAATTTAAACAACGAAAACAAAGATCAACTTCTTGGGATCCTTACTTTCTTAAAACCGAACAAAAAGAGATCAAAGGCCGTAAACCCACGCTAAGCCTTCCGTTTCCGAAAGAAAGGGAACAATCTCGGGGCAATGCCCCGAGGTCCCTTTATTCATTTTACTCTGATAGATGGTCAGAACTTTATATGGGATCAACTCCTATTGCTAAGTCCAATATGGATCCGAAATTTAGGAATAAATCTCTTTCTTTTGTCCGGCAAGCGGAAAAGAAAGAAATAGTTAATCTATTTAGAATACTTACGTATTTAAAAAGGACTGTTTTAATTAAGTCTATTTCTTTGGATCCCGAAATAGAAAATTCGAAGAATACTGGATTTCTTAAAAAAACTCCATTATTTTCTTTTGTTAACCGATTCCTTGAAAGTAAACAAGGAAGCTATGTGCTACAACATAATTGGAAATCAGAAAAAAAATTACAAAAAAGTCCAGGTTTATTTATTCTGACAATAAGCGAGCCGGATCCAGTCTATAATCAGGGATTTACTTTTTTTGTTAATATAGATTCATATGAATTGCATAAAATCAAATTATTGAATAAAATATTCAATACTAGGACTGAATCAAAAAATCAATCTTTGTTGGCTCTTTCGCCTATTTTTTTTCGTTATAAGGAGAATAACTCTTTTTTTCAGCGAACGGGCCAAAACTGCGTATGGATTGAAGCAGTGAATCTATATAGATATAGATTCATTCACAATATGATTCAAATGCAATCTAGTACCTATGTGTACATAAGAAATCTATTAAATAAATTTGTTTTCATAAATATATCCAATCACAATTTCAAATATCGAATTAGGAGAATTCAAGGGGATCAAAAAGAAACGGGTCTTCTCAATCATCTAACTCATATGACATATAAAATAAAACAGGGTCATCCATATAGATCCAAATGGTCAAATGGGGCAAAGAGTTTACAAGAAAATTCAAAACATTTTCTTTATGAGCAGAAAAGACTTTTTGAAATGTATGTTCAAGTCCGAAAGGGCCATTTGCAAATGATGTTTGAGAAAGTTTATAAATTATGTATTTATGTTATTGATAAAATAACTGAGAAATGGATTTATTGGTCTAAGGTTCGCAGGGAAGTAGAAATCAAAGTAAAAAAAAATGTGTATAAGTTAGTTCCTTTAGTTTTTACCAAGTTGTCCAAATCAGTACGTTTCTTCTTTTTTCCCCAGTCACTTCGTTTTTTTTTTACGAAGGGATTTCACTGTATGATCAAGTTGCTTTTCTTTTTGTCTAATTCACTTGGTTTTTCCTGTGTAAGTTTTGGTACTAGTCCTGTTCAGAGGTCCGAAATCTATATCTATCAATTACAAGGACCGAACGGTCAACTTTGTAATCAGTTGTTGGAATCAATAGGGTTTAAAATGATTTATTTAAAAAAATTAAACCCCTTTTTGTTGGAAGAGTCTGGTACGTCGAACTTTGTTATCAATGAAACAAAAAGATCACCCTTTTTGTTTCATAATATAGCAAAAGAGAGGATTGATGCATTGCTTACTAGACCAAAATATTTTGATGAAAAGGCTAATGGGTTTCATCCCATGAACCTATTTGAAAGAAGTTCACTTATATCCGCTT